CCCACCCCAGACTGAGCCCCCTGCCCTGCGGACACCCTTCTGCAGCCTCCTCCCGCCTGGAGCCCACCCCAGACTGAGCCCCCTGCCCTGCCGACACCCTTCTGCAGCCGCCCCTGCGGGCTCAGCGCCCCCGGCCGGGCTGCTCTGCCCCGGGCACAGCGGGTGCTGCCCCGGCCGCCTCTCCCTGCCCCTCCGGGCACAGCTCTGGGCGCTGCAGCGGGGTCCCAGGGGCTCCCCAGCGCTTTTCCACAGGGAAATCACCCCCAGTGAGCAGCTGAAGCCTCAGCACAGCCCGGGCTTTGGGCAGCCCAAATCCTGAGCGCCGCAGCAGAGACTGCGGCAGAAGAGCGCCGAGCTGTAAATCAGAGCTGTGGAGTTTGATTTACAGCTTGGGAACGAGTCTGTCTGTCTGTCTGTGCAGCTCAGCTCTCCCCTGCTCCATTAACCTTACCGTGCTGGAAAAGCAGCCTCTTAATTAAAAATAACAACAGTCACTGTCGCTCCTTAAATTCCCCTTAATTATATCAGTCTGCCCAGTAGGTGACATCCCCAAAAGCCCCAGAAGCACACCCTAAACATTCGAATATGTCTTAATATGTCCTGAAAAGCAAAAAAACAAAACAAAACAAAAAACCAAACAAAAAACAAACAAACAAACAAACAAACAAACCCCACAAATACCAAAAGCAATAAACCCACCAAAAAAAAAAAAAAAAAAAAAACCCCAAAAACCAAAAAGACCCCAACAACAAACCCATGGTATAAAGGGAACCCCAGCATGATTTTGCACTGACTCTGTGGTTAGAGGTTGCCTTTGGGTGCTGCATTTATAGGATCAGCATCTTCCTCTGCTGTGTCAGACTCAAGTTCCATCCCTGTGTGTCAGGGAGAGATGTCATGAGCCTCTCTGCAGCCAGACATCCCAACCCACCACTCTGAGCTGCCACAGGAATATCCTCTGCCCAGGACAAATCTCACAGCAATGGCTTGTGGAGGGCAGCTCAGCCTGACTTTTCTCATCCTGCACTTCTCCTTGACTCAAAAGCAGAGCCAGCAAATCAGCTGGGATAAACAGAAGCCCCACCTTTGGCTTTTCAGCATGATTTCCAAACCAAAAGGTGTTCTGAAAAAATTGCCCAGGGGGATTTGAGCACCCCAGGCTCTCCCTGGGGCAGCCACGAAGAACCTCAAAGGTTTCCATTTCCACCCAGAGGTCTCCTGCTCGGTTTAACCAGGAAAAAAACAGACTGTGCTCCCAGTGCCCTTCCTGGGGCAGTGCCAAGCACCCAGGCAGGCACAAGGAGAGGGCACCATTTGGGGATTTTGCTCCATGGCTTTGGGGTGCTGTGTGTTCCATAAAGTTTTGTCTCTGAGGCACATCCATGTATGGCTGTGTTGGTCCCTTCCCTCATTTGTCCTGTCAGGATGTGGGGTGAGCTCATGGTTTCAGAGCTCTGGGGCTCCTGGGGGGGCCTGCAGGCTGCAGAGGGCAATCCCAGAGGAAATCAGGTAGGATGGGCAGCCCAGAGGCCATACAGCACCCTGGGGTTGTGTCCCCATGGACGTGGACTCACTCCCAGAGTGGAGGGAGGAGCAGGGCTGGACACTGGATACCAAACCTTCATTCCTCCACTCCGGGTTTTAATTGGGTCCCACTTGCTTATTCCCTGTTTGCACCTCAGGAAACAGGAGCAGGTCATTCCTGTCAAGAGCTCTGATCCAGGGCAGAGATCCTGGAACAGCCAGAGCATCACAATCTCCCTGTGCTGTTCCATGGGGAGAGCATCCAGGGTGCAGCTCCCATGGGGTGCCCTGGCCCCAGCACAGCCTGGGGTGATCCCCATTTCCCAGTGGGTGTTTCCCCCCACACTCCCCCTCTTTCCAGAGCAAGCAGCAGGCAGGGAAGAGGTGGTTTGGGCATCACAGTGACTCCCATTTTCAGTGATGTCTCCCAGCAGGGCTCCCAGGAATGACATCACTCACCCAAATGCCAACCACAGCATTTATTTTTATTACTTTTTTTTTTCCCCACAAACTGTAATTTTATAGTTAGGAGTATTTCACATAGACATGGAGCAGAGCCCAGGGATGCACTTGCTCAACCACAGCAGCTGCCTGGGTCTCTTTTTTTTTTATCCACATACCCTTTGTGCACCATTTCTTGATGCTTTACAGCACCAAAACCCAGGCTAAGCACATCCCCAGAGGAGCAGGGTCTCCCATGGCCAGTGAACCCTCTTGCCTTGGAGCATTTTTAATTCCTCTCCAAGACTTGCCAGCTTCAGCCTGTGCAATTCAAGGACTTCAGGTCAAGCTTAACTCAAAGCCCACCAATTTTTAACCAGTATCCATTAATAACTCAAAAGATCAAAGCCTGTTTCCTCCCCATCCCAAGTGTCCAAGGCTTATACTTTGTTTTTATGTCTGCAAGAGACCCGGTGGGGTTACTTCAGGCATTGCACGATGCAGTAACCCCGAGTTGCTCAAGCCTGCCCATGGAATGGTCCCAAACTTTCTGTGAAATTCCTGGCAGTACAAGACAACCAGCAATTTATGCAAAATAAATGCAGTGTTTTCTCTCTGAGGCAGCAGTGTGGGCTTGAAATATTTCAGGCTTTCCAGGGAGGCTTTCAAAGCAATTCCCAAAGGAGCTCAGGGACTCGGGATCCTGCAGGGATTCCTTTGTGATGCCTTAAGGACAGAAGGAGCAGCAAAATCCTGCGCACCAGGAAACCCTTTCCCAGGAAAAGGGCTGCCAGGACCCCTGGGCTCAGGCACAGGGCTTCGAGTTGCTTTTCTCCACTTTCCTCTTCCTCTGTGGTTTGTCACCCTCCACCTGCACTGTCACCTTTGCCTTGGGCACCTTGTATTTGCTCTTCTGGCTGTAGAGGAGGTTTTTCTGGAAGAGGCGTGGGATGTTGCCCTGGAACAGCAGGAGGGCAGCGAGCATCCCTGGAATGAGAGCACAGACCCCTTCCAAGTGCTGTGCCGAGCAGCTCCACCCTCCCCACAGCTCAGCAGCAGCTTGGGATCCTTGTCACAACCTTCACCATGACCAAAAGGCAGCTCAGCACCACGAAATCCCCACTGAGAGCTGAGGGACCCTTGCTGTACTGTTTTAAGGAGGATTTAACCACTGTGTCATTAACATAATAAAAAAGGCTCGTTTTGACCCAAAAGGGTCACACACACCACCCCAGTGGTTTTCTGGCAGGGAATCACTAAGGTTGGAAAAGTCCTCTAAGCCCATCTAGCCCAACCATCCCCTCAGTGCTGCCAAGGTCACCATCAGTCATGACCCAAATGCCACATCCACATGGCTTTTAAATCCCTGCAGGGTTGGTGTCTCCACCACTGCCTTCAGCAGTGCCTGACCACCCTTTAGGGAAGAAATTTCCTCAATACCCAACCTAAACTTCCCCTGGGGCAACTTGAGGCTGTTTCCTCTTGTCCCATCACTCTTATCTGGGAGCAGAGCCCAACCTCATGTGGCTCCAGCCTCTGGTCAGGGAGTTGGCTCCACTCTCAGCACACATCCAGCTCCCCATGACCATTCTGGAGCTGAGGACAACCTCAAAGCATAGCTCAGCCTGCCACTGCCCTAAAACACCTTTCCTAAACCTCCCCCAGACTTTGGCCCTTGTACCGTGCAGAAGTTGGATTTTAAAAAATTGGACAGCCAAAGAGATGACCCCAGAGATGATGAGGAAGGGTGAAAAATGACACTTGCCACTGTCAGACCCAAGTTCAGCCCTTTGCCAGAAGAGTCCATGTTACACTGAGCACTTCTGCCTTGCCCCAAGCCAGCTCCTGCCCCCTGGGAAGATCTCACCTGCAAGGGGCCCCAGCCAGTAAACCTGGAGGTAGTCCCAGAAGCTGCTCCCCGAGCAGTGGAAGGTGGTGGCTGTGGCCAGGGCAGGGTTGAAGAAGGCCCCTGTGTACGGTCCAGCTGTGTGGGAAGAGAAGTGTGGCAAACAGTCCCACTGCATCCTTTGGAACACTGACAAAGGGCTGGGACCCCTCCTGCCTGTCTTCTTGGACTGGGGAAATCCCACCCTTGTCACCCTCAGCTCTGTGGGAAGCAGAAAAGCTCAGTGCAGGACTGAGGGATCACAGTAGGGGACATTCCAGGGAAGTGATGCCAGTCTTCAGCTGTGGCTGTGAGCCAACATTGACTCGCAGCCCAGATACCCCAAACTGCCATCTTCATCCCAAAATGAATATTCCCCAAAATAACAGAAAACAAACACCTCGGTAGTCGTTACCTTGTTAATCCCTCCCTCTCCAGTCCTGGAAGATAGGAAACAGGGGGGCTGTTCCTCCCCCACAAACGAGGCTCCTTTCCAAACGACTCAGAACAAGAGACACCAGCGCTGCTCACCTGTGTAGGTCAGGAAGGTGACGGCCGCTGCCAGCGCGGGGACCCGGTACAGGGGGTGGCTCTGTCGCACCTTGAGGAAGACAAGGTGGAACAGGAAGGAGCAGGAGCCTTCCACGAAGGCAGCGTGGGGCAGGGAGGCGCGGATGGAGGAGCTGCACTCCGGCCCGATCAGGTTCTGGATGAAGTGGAGCTGTGTCAGCTCCCAGGACCAGTAGAGCCGGGTGACGGCCCAGCCCGTCCCTGTACCCACCCCCTGGGCCAGCAGCTTGGCCACCATCGCTGCCAGGCTGGACTCCAGGAGCAGGAACTCCTGGACAGACACGGTCGGGTTGGCGGATGCTCCCTCAAAAGAGGCGCCGTGGACAGCGGAGAGGAGGAAGAGCAGGGTCAGGACCAGGTCCAGGCTGAAGCCACCACCCCAGGGGCCGATCTCCATCAGCATCCTCAGCTCGAGGCAGCTCATGCACAACTGGAACGAGCCAGCAAATTCCCTGGCAAGGCAGCCATGTGTTCCAGGGGACAGAAGCCTCTTGGAAAGCCACCTGAGCACCTGGCACACCCCAACCACCAGGAAAAAAAAACCGATGGAGACATTCAAGCCATCCATAGTGAAGGCTGTGCTGGGGGCAGAGTCTGGGAAGGAGCAGAGGAAGCTCCCGCACCTCCTCTTTATAAAGCCAAGCAAAAGCAAACGTGGCACAGCCTGACAGGCCTGGGAAAGGCCACACGTGTGTCCCCCACGGGGCAATGCCAGTGCCCAGGGAGCTGCCAGACTCACAGCAGCTGGAGCAGCCACCAGGTTGTTTGTCCCAGAAAATCCCAGCATTATCTCCACCAGGCACTGAGCCCCCAGCCCCAGCACTCACACCTGAGAGCCCACAGCAGCTCCCCAGAGCTGGCAGCTCTTCCAGATGGAACAAAATCTTAATTTTCTTTCT